TGGGTACCCATCGCTCATCTCTGAGCTACCTGTTTCATTGCTTTAATTAATGCAGCTGAACAGACTCGCGAGACTGAAATGCCTACATTCATTGCAGGTCGAATTCCTGTGTGAAATAAATCTGCAGATGGGAAAAGTTGTCCACCTGCCATAGAAATTATTTAGTAGGAATGTACGCAGAAACATCCCCAGCCCGTGTTTTTAACTATAGGTAATGCAGTCATACTTCCGTCTCCTAGCTGATGCAATCAGACTCGCTATCTTTCTCACTTCGTATGCATGTAAACAGGTTGCGCAGCAAACTGGCGACGAGCGCCCACTCAGAACTCAGAGATATGGAAACCAGGAACGCAGTTCAGATACAAGTTCACTTCAAATAGCTATGGCGTCACAGCGCCTGTACAACTCTCTGTTCACACACACACACACACAGGATCACCCTGGATATCCCACACGCGGCACTCTGTACACCCATACACACACACACGTTACACTCTCCTAACAGCTATGGCGGCTATGGCCGCTGCTACCCTATCGCTATGGCTAAGCTCCTTCTCTTGCCCACTTCGTCTTCGGAATCACTGCAGACCACCTCGCACAAGTCGCTATGGCAGCGCTTCCGTATGGCTTATGCAGGAATGAATGAATAGCTGGGCGCTGCTTCTTGATTTATACTTCTGCATCTCGTTGGTCTGCCCCTTTCCCATGCCCGTGGTGCACACAGTCCCATACAGTACTTGCTTGACTGGACCAGGACTGACTGGGACTGGGACTGGGACTGCTGACTCAGCACGGGTAGACTCCACCACTTGCCCACTTGCCTCAGCCTAAACGTGAGCAACTTCGAAAGGCCACTACTAGGACCTTCCGGAAGGCCGTGGACTTGGCCTTTCGATACTGTAGCAGCTACGACCTTGACCTTGCTAAGACTCCTACCCGACAGGTCTACAGATCGAACCCCTACTACCTACGGACCCTACGACAGTCTACCAACTGTTACAAATACACAGGTCACGGGTTCAACTCTCGGGGTCGACACAGATACTGTACACAGGTAAGGTGAGGACTAGGGATCGAGCCCTGGGATCTGCATCGGCTACTGCGAACAGGTGAATACCGTTTCACTGAGATCTTGTTTTTGTAGCATCAGTGGGGCCTTGGCTGAAGATATTTTAACCGCCACTACTTCTGAGGCTACTTTGCAATGGGACAGTAAGTTTAACCGGTGGTCAGCCATTCACCATTGGTATTACGTGCATTCTGAAGTAGTGGCGGTCTAAGGGAGAGGAAAAAGAGATGTGGCCAACCATGTTGAGGGTGATTTAATGTGCTAAGCGTCCTGAAGGTCACCAGGAGAACGGGGCTAAGGAAGTGTTCTTCGTTTGCTGGGGTCAACAGGGGAATGTGGCTAAGTAAGCATTCACAATGTGTCAGGTGTGCTAAGGATGGTGAAGGTCGACAGGAAGATGTGGGTAAGTGCGATTACTCTCAATCCTATTCTTCAGGAGCTGAAGGGGCTAAAGAGGAGGATGTGGCTAAATGGATGCTCCAAGTGTGGCACCTGTGGTGGTTAGTCAATAGGGGGATATGGCTTATTATTCCAATTCTTCATCTCATCTCATCTCATCTCATCTCATCTCATCTCATCTCATCTCATCTCATCTCATCTCATCTCGGGATGCGTACATGTTCTTGTAATCATATGCATAGTAGCATACATTTTTTTTGTCGTTTTTGCATTCTTGTCATGCATCATGTCCGTGCCGTCATATGCAGACATGTGCTTGTCGTTTTTGCATTCTTGTGATGCGTTTGATTCTTGACAAGTTGAACTGTTTGCTGAACCACTTGGCGGATGTGCAGGTCCTGGTCATAGATCTGATTTTGCACAAGCCGCAGGCGTATCGACATCTATTCTTCAACTTGCTCAGACATGATAAACAGAAGCGGAAGGTCAGTTTCTACATACATGCCTGAAAAGGGAATGGTCCCGTAGGGCTCTAACCCATGCACATGAGCTTGGCCGGCTAGCAAATGCACATTAGCTTTTTGTACGCATTTTTGGTTGTGAATTGTGAATCTTCCTTCGATTCCCTGTGTATTCCCCTCTGGTGGTTGTGGTCGGCTGCTCATTGTTTCTCAGAATTAATCACTTAAGTAGGGTTGCATACCCGCTGAACACCTACCTCGACCGCCGACTGTTTTGCAGCCTACCGGTAGGGCCGGCTGGTCGGCGGTCTGCCAACCAGTTAGTAAACAGCCATCCACTGATTTTTTTTGCACCATTATGGTATGCGACCCAGACCCAGGTTCAAATCATGGATTGATCAGATGGTTCATCTTATCAAAGAAAAAGGATACCCAGTGCAATGGGGGTGAGCAATATTGTGGTGGTTCAGCGATCGGATAGGAGAACACAAATTGGGCTTTCAGGCCATATACCAACTCTGACGGGATAGCACGAGCGAGAGTCTATTAGATTGAGTGATAGGATGGGCTAATATAACACAAATTGAGCTTTCTATTGGCTTGTGGGAATCCCTCAACGCCTCTATTACTTACTAGGGACGTAAGGAATAATGCGAACTTTCTGTATTCGAGAGAGAAAGATGTGGGATGCTGGTGGATGAAATGCAGCTGCAGAGAGCTGCAAGTTATGACTTGACTTGCTCGTCAACCTTTGTTTTTTTTTTTGTTACGATCCTCGCCAATTCCGAAGTGCAAATACACTAGGAAATGCAATGCCGTCCTATTGCAAAAAAAGAAAGAACTCTAAGAGGAGAAAGAGACACAGGAAGAAGAAGAAGAAAGAAAGAAGAAGAAGAAGTACACCAGCAAATGAACAATGACAAATTCCCCTTCTCTCATCAACCGATCCCCTCCTCCTTATCTCCCCCTCTGTTATTCAACAATAAATAGTACCAACAATGAATGGCTGAACCAGAATCAATGTCCGAATCTCTCTCTTACCGCCAGGACAACAAGAGGTCCACCATCGCCATGACCTCCATCTTCCTCCACCTCCGACAGGTACTGGCTATGGCGGACTACTAAGGCCCTGTCCTGATGTTCAAAAGACAATGCAAAAGCAGCTGTCCCCTACACTTCAGGCCGCCATGCCGGACTGTGCCCTGAAGCCTTTCTTGATATAGTGCTACCCCACTTGGGGCCTTCCATATGCTGCACCTACCAAGGAGATGAAGATGACGCCCACCATAGCCAGGTAAGTACCTCTGGCCACTCTCCTCCCTAGTCCCCTTCTTCCTCCTCCTGCCAGGCGCTGTCCACCATTGCCAAGGTGGAAGCCCTGGTGCTCCTCTCCCCAGCGCTCCACACTAGCGCTCTACCAGCAGGTGCTCCGGCAGTGTGACACCCAAACTTGCATGCTGCAAATGAGGCAGAACAACTCGCTCGCTCTGAGATATAGTGGGCAACTTGACCCTTGGGCGGGTGACTTCCAGGCCTCTCGGCCTCCCAAGCAACCGGTAGCTCCTCCGTTTCGGAGGGAAACATCATTGCAGACCTGATGTCTACCGCTACAGGCCCTGGACTCTACACTACCGGATCCTACCCCTAAAGGTACTACCTTTTTGTCTTCTTCTGCCCGGCCTACTGCTACTCGAGTGGTACCGGTACCTACACTACCGCAGCTTGAGTGCGCCCTAAGCTACTCCTTCGGCCACTTGAATGTTTTTCCCCGTTGCAACCGTCACAGTCACGGCCACAGGTAAGTACCATCCTGAGGGCCTCCCAAACATACAAGTGCCCTTGGCGGGTCACCCACACGCTCAGCCAGACATACACTCAGACAGGCACACGGACCAGAAAGCGCGCACACATGCAGACTTAGGGGCTCGTTCCACTACCCTCGACTTGAGAAAAATCTCAAGGGCTGCCCTACGGCCGCCCTTGAGCCTGATTGTCATTAAAAAATCCTAGACTTCGTTCTCGTTCCACTACACCCTACAGTTTGTGCTCGGAAAAACGAACGGGACATGTGCGGCGCCGGCTACTTCAAAACCACGCAGGTCCGTCATTGGCCCAGGACAACTGTAGCCGGGGGAACAAACAAACAAAAACCACCTCATGGAGGGTGCTGGCGCCCTTTTCAAGGAAATTCAAGTCACATCTGGGAGGTGACTCGAAAATTGGCCTGGTTTGCCTGGGCGCCCTACAGCCGCCCTTCACTTTCAGAGCAGGATTTTATTACGGCGGGAATGTTAATCACGAGCAATGGCAAAACACCAAGACTCAGCTTTGTCAGACTGTTGGATGACACAGACTAAATAGCAAAACCAAAAGGAACAGACAATCAAAATACTGAACACGCTGTCCTTCGGACATCCGTTAAAATTGGAGCAGATCCAATACGTTGGACAGCAGCCTATGCACACTAAGAGAAAGCCTCTTCCCTCCTCCCCCCCCCCCCCC